TAAGAGCTCTGTAGTTTCGTTTTAGTATGTTAGTCTGAGCGTTTTTTAGGTAGGCAAACTTTCTTCTTATGTGGCACTTGGTTCTTATCAATGGAGAGGAAGTAAAGTACAGTAGATCTTAAACTTCGCAAATTTTTAAAAGAAGATTTTTAAAAATTATGTTAGGACCTAAGTTTAGAAATCTTTGTTTTTAACATTACGTATCAGTTTCCCATTTGGTATGTAGGGATTCCAGTTATTTTCTCACTATGTCTTACACTGATTTTAAAAAAAAAAAAGTTTATGGAAGTATTAGAGATTTTTGTAATGTAGTATAGAGTTAAACCATGATAATAAACTATTGTTTGCAACTTCTGTATTAAGAAAAATCCTTAGATTAATTATATTCAGTTTGGCATTATTTTCAAATTGTAGAAGACTTGATAGTAGCATTGAAATATAGGTATCTGGTATTTTAAAGGAAAAAAAAGTGAGGAGGTGGACCTAGGATAGATTTTCTTTCTAGTCTATCACCATTTATTTAATAACAAAAGGGAGAGACTAACTGATTTCAAATATGATAAGAATGCTGTACTTGTTCTTTTGGCACAGGGCCTCAGATAGGATCAGAAGTCAACAATGTTCTTTTAAATGACGGAAGTAGAATGTATCCATATCACCAGGCTGTGGGGGAGGAACGGGGAGCTTGAATTTTACCAGAAAGGAAGTGCTCCACTGCAGTAGCAATTCCTTACAGAAGGATGAAGTATCACATGTACCAATAGTTGTTTAAAAGGGTGAAAAGGATTTCTATTAATGCATTTGTTTTCTTTCCCAACACAGGTGTAACTCATGCAATGGGAGGCAGAGGAGGCCTAAACAGAGGAAATACTAGTTAAATGATCTGTAAAGTAATTACAGCTGTGTATACAAAAGTGCCAGTTTGCCCGTGGTTGCTTTAGTGTAATGAAGCCAGAGCTTAAAGCAGCATTTTATACTTAGATTTGTGTGCACACATTTCAATGTCTTTATTAATAAAATTAGACAAAATGTCAACATTCAAATGGCATCTTTTTTTTTAAAAAATCCTCTGCTGTACATCACTTGCTAGGACAGTTGTACCAGTCTTTGGATACAGTCTTTCCTGTGAGAGCGGTAACAGGTCTTGCTATTCTTTTGCCAACATCCAAACTGTAGTACCGATCTGAAATGAAGATATGTCAGAATTAAATTCCAGAAACTACATTTAGTACATGGAAAGAATCTTGAAGTTAAAGCTTTCCTTTTAATTTCATTTAGGCATGAATAACAGATTTTTCATTCCACATACATATATAGAGTTGAGAAGCTATAACAATGAATTTTTGCCCTCAACTTTTTTTTTTTACATGTCCTTCTTTGTGTTTAGCTAAGTTTTACAGTACTGCTAGTAATTAAATCTGTCCCAAGAACAGGGAGTAGGGAAGAATGCTTTTATACTGCTAGAACACAGAAGTAGTCTTAAGAATTTGGAAATCAAACAAACTAGAAGCAAAACAATCCTGCACTGACTTACAAAAGTGGGAACTCTGTGGGCCCCGAGTGTGAATTGGCCTATGTTAAGGATAGGAATGAGATCATACTGGCAGAGACTTATTTTAGCATCCTGTATTTGGATACGGCTAGTTCTTAGAGCTTTTTTTTCTGAATAATCCAGAAAATTATGAGGAATGCTTTTACATGATCCTGGCTAGAGGGAAAGGATCTACCTAATCTAGAATCATAAATAATTTTTTCCTGTAAAGCAAAATGGTTCATGTCCCTCCCTTTTTTTGTCTTGTTAGAAACATAGTTCCATGGAAGCCAGTGAAAGAACTATCTTGTGTAGCAGTGCAAGGATTTCACTCTATCATTAATATGTCAGGTTTTTTGACACTTCATAAGCTTGAACTCTTATGGCAACGCATTCCACAACTGGCTAGTTTGAATCAGTGTACCTTGTTGCTGCTAGTTGCCCTGTAACTATTGATTTTTAATAGAAACATCTCTCGATTACAGGCAACATGTTAATTCTCAATACTTTTTAGTAGTGCTTAAAATTAGTCTTGCAGAATCACAAGCAGTATCCTCAGCACTTCGGAAAGCTCAGAGATACATGGGCTTCTTTCTTCCCCATCCCTTAGTCTTTTGAGATATATAGTAACTTGCATTAGCTTTAACTTACTGTAAGAGAAGGCATAATAATCATAGCCATCTGGCTTATTGTAGTTGGGTAGTGATATAGTTGAATGAATTACTTTCGGAAGCCCTCTCCAGTAGGCAGTCATTTTGATTTCCTTACGCAAAACTCCTGCAAGCAAAAGGAAACTTAAGTTAGGAGGTGTTGCAGTGTGGCTGCTGTAAGCTATCATTTGCTTGTATAATCTACAGTGAGCGAGACCTGTTGGATTAAAAAAAATTTAAAAGTTCTATATTTAAAAAAACGGAACAGAATGTTGTGTTTCAGAAACTACTAAGATAAAAACGGTTGTATAAAAGAAACTTAATAAACATAAGTTACCAGATGGATATGGGTTCATTCTGACGGTCTGAATAATGGTTGGCATTCTTACTGCACGTTGAAAGCGTCTCCTTACTACAAGTCTTGGGACATAAGCTGGGTATCTTATGGTAACCTGGGTTCTTCTTTGACACTTCTTGGCTGGTTCTTGTCTGTACACATACTGCTGCATGTTGCCATCTAAAATAGACATTTGTTTCATTTGGTTAAAAAAACAAAAACCACCAAACAACCAGCTAGATCAGATATGAAAATGTCATTGATATCCATATCACATGCAGGAAATCAATAGCATCATTTTAATGCATTTACAGCTGCTGCAGCCTTCAGCTTTTTATATCCATTCCTACATTTTGAGATAAAAGCCTTGCTCTCTAAATCCACCGTGCGCTTCTGCATGTAGCGATACCTCCTGCAGGCTCATTACAGTTACTGTAGTAAGTACAATTCCAGGGGAACTGCTTTTGCTGCCATCATTCCTATTTATCAAGGAGACGGCAAGACCATCATTTTAGGCTGCGTGAGAGGAAGGCTTGAGTCCAGAAAAAGATTTGCATTTCCTTAACCTCTGCCTTTTAAATTCAGATAATAATTCTTACGTTGGCAGTACATAATTCATGTAAGATAAGGAAATTACATTAATTTAAAATACGGAATAAGAAATAGGGATGGAGATTTCCATACATAGTTGCAAACTAGTAAGATTAAAGCCTTCCCTTCTCTGATTTGCTTGAGACTAAAACAGTTTTACCACCAGATAAAACTTAATATGCTGGATTCTGTCCCTTACAGTCCTGTCCATTTTAAAATGCACTTAAAGATCTGTAAGTACTAATACAATTTTTTAAAGCGTCAGGCTATTTTTTTACCACCTAGCACACTAACATCACTTACGTTTCTGGTTTTGAAAGAAAGATGTCTTTCAGTCAAGAGAAATGGTGTTTTATTCCTGACTAATGCAATTGAAGCACCTGTTGATCATTTGTGAACTTCTGAAATATGAGACATACCTTTTTTGATAAAATAAACAGATTCTGGTCTGTTGTTGTATCTTGCCACGGGTAGGGTTGCTACTATTTTCCCACTTAGCCCTGCGAATCCATTCGCAAGAGGTTTGGGATAGCCTTTATCCATAACACCATTAGTGAAACGCCAGTATAGGGGGCCCTAATGATTTAAGGAAAAAATGAGCTTTAGAGGAAATTCAGTCTTGGTAACGGAGCTTCAACACAGACATGAAAAATAATCATAACACTAGCATTTTGATAACTACATTGCAAAACTGACTGGATCCACTCCTACATCCATTAAAAACAGGAAAAAAGTTACAACTTCATAAAATACCTTCTGCAGACTTTTAACACCACCTTTGAGTAGGAATAGAGCATCTTAGAAATGAACTGTCAAGAGTGGTTACTGAACAAAGTGGTTCACTTTCTAAATCTCTAAATTTTTGTGGGTAGAAAAAGCTACTTGAATTCCAGGACTGAGTGCTTAATTGGGAATTAACTGTATAATGTCATTAATGAGGTGTGTGCATTTCATTATCTTCTTTCAGGAAGGGAAATGTATTAGGAACTAATCTAGGCCGTGTGCGGGCAAGGGAAAGACACGATAAAATACCCATTATTTTAAAGAGTTGGGGGTTTTTTAAGTGTGGCTCATAGGTAAATACTACTCAATTATCAGTTATTCTGTCAATGCTTTGTCTCCTAGCCAATTACAGGGGAAAAAAACACTGAATTGAGTTTTTTCCTGACAAGCACCATCTCAAGGCAGACATGGGGCGGCTGGGAACTTCACCCACAGTTTCAAACACACCACGCTGTTTGAAAACGCCATTTGTTCTATAAAATGAGCAACGCAGCCCCAGAGCAACACAAGGCTCCTCTTCTGCGGGTCTGCGTTTCAAAACCTGCACCTTTTTTTTAAGCTGACCTGCCCCACACAGCCCCTCTGCTGCCTCCCGCGCCCGTCACACTCACGCCCCGGAGCAGGGGGCTCCCCACCTTGATGAAGAAGGTCTTGCCATCGCAGTTGCACCTGGAGAAGACGGCGTCGATGGGGGACGGGATGCCCCAGCCGTCGCTGATCCGCCGGGGGCGGGGCGTTGGGGGGCTCGTGCCGTTAAGAGCCCAGTGGTA